CAGTTCTGGGCACTGCACTTTAAGAAGGATGTGGCCTGCCTTGAGAGGGTTCAGAGGAGGGCCACCCGCTTGGTTGGAGGGCAACAGGGCAGGCCCTATGGGGAGAGGCTGAGGGACCTGAACCTGTTCAGCCTCAGAAAACGGAGGCTGAGGGGAGATTTGGTGGCTGCCAACAAACTCATTAGGGGAGATCAGCAGCAAATAGGAAGATCCCTATTCTCCCCATCAGCACCTGGGGTGATGAGGATCAATGGCCAGAAGCTGCTAGAGAATAAATTCAGGTTAGAGATTAGGAGGCACTATTTCACTGCCAGGGTAGCTAGGATCTGGAACCAACTTCCTAGGGAAGTGGTCCTCGCTCCTACCTTGGGTAAATTCAAAAAGAGGTTGGATGAACACCTGTCTGGGGTCATATGATCCCAGCATGTGCTCCAACCAGTGGCAGGGGGTTAGACTAGATGATCTGTTCAGGTCCCTTCTGACCCCTAACTACTATGAAACTTACTGATTCAGTCAGACACAAGTTTATTGCTAACTAACTCCACTAACTTTTACCTAATTAAGGAATGATGTCTCCAAACAGAAATAAAGGCTTCTTCCCTACTGCATATTCAGTAAATAAGGGGATGCCTCCTTCCTCAGAGGCTGGGGATAAGCAACACAAGGATTTGTTCAGTGAATAGGTTTATTCATACATACATATACATAGCTTAAATAATTTGAGTGTTATACAAAATGATTGAAGAGAAGAATCCAAAGCAGCTCTGACACTCCTCACTGCTAAATGAGAGTGCCAGGCTGGGTTTCCAGACACCACTCAGTCCCACAACTTATCCAAGAGTGTGTACTTACTAATGGACAAGATTGGAGTAGGGATGCTATTTAGACATAAGTGGTGTTGGAGAGGAAGCACTGGAACATCTTCAGAGCCTGACCTGGCTTGTATTGGGGGACCATGTGACCTGCACCCTGCACATTAGAGAAACAACAGTAAACACTGTTGGATTGTAGAACGGAGGTGGGTTTTCAAAAAAACACTTCAAGAAACTGCTTCTATTTAATACCATCCCTGAAGGGCAGGAATACTTCTCATTCCAACAGAAACATTCTATGACTGTGGAGCTGGTTATGCTACTCCAGCCCTTGTGAGCATTAGTAGCCTTGTATATTGTTTTAATCCACCTCTACTGCTTTGGGTAGTTTCTTAAAAATCTGCCTAGCCAAGTGGGTGCAAATATCTGCTGATCCACCCTGTGTACAATATAGTAAAGGCTTCCTGGCAGAGCCCTTGGTCTATGGAGATACCTTCAGAAAATACCAAGGGACTGTGTTCTTTCAGCAAATGAGGCTCCATCATAGGGTCTCTCAAACACAGATCCCAAATAAGTTAAACCCAAACTTACTTTGTTCCCAGTCTTTGAGTATCTAGGTAACTCCCATGTCCTCACTTTTTCTGTGCATTTTCTCTGCTGATTTCATCTAGATTGATTTTTAATTTGAAACTGATTAAGATGCACTGAGAGTCTCTTTTGAGTCTATTTCGAAGGAGGAACTGATATCTGTGAAGCAGGACCCAGGGAAATTCCCATACAGTAACTGGATGATTTAGCAAGAAATCTAGAACGGGTGTTCAACCCACACCCTTGAGCCAGATCCAGCCCCCGGTGCTGTCTCATTCAACCTGTAGGCTCCCCATGGTTCAACAAGGACCCCTGTGGGCTATGACCCTGCATGCTAGATTGGTCACACAGGACAGTACAGGGCATGATCACAGCAGGTGGGGGCAGTGTAAGGCCCTGGGGCCCGATGCCAGCAAATGGGCAGCACAGGGCCCAAGCCAGAGGCAGCCAAAGCCACACACAGCCCGATCCAGGCATGTGGGGCCAGTCTCTGGCCTTTGGACCTGCACTGTGCCACTCATCTGCCCACAAAGCCAAGAGGATGAGCACCACTGGTCTTGAAGATTCAGATATGAATGGGTGACAGCACTATAACTGGTTCATCCTTCAGTTGGAAAGCTGCCAGCAACCTTCACTGGGCTTCTTGCTATCATTACCACCCACTGAACAGGCTCAAATTAAAACAAGTCAGTTAGAGGTGGGAGTTGAAACCATGGCTGCCTTGTCACACTGATTTCTTTTAATTAAATCTGTCATCCATCCCCTAATGCACTGGGGCCTCACAGGTTGCTACACAAAATTACATTACATGTGAATAACTACACTTCCATAGAGCAGAGTTCCTCAAACTTCTTCATGGGGAGTCCCCTTCCTAGTAAGAATGTGGAAACAGTTGTTCCTCCCCTGTACACACAACTGCCATATGTTGTGAAAGATCTAGGTATATTTTCTGGGTGTCATCCACATTCCTGACTCATCTTGTGCATATCCACCTATCTTTGGGAACAGCTGAAGTACAGCTGCATAGTGTGATCCTTTCTTTCTCTGATTAAATGTTCAGCATCAGTGTCCAGCATCCCAGTTACTAGCCCGTGAAACAAATGGGGCAGTTCCCACCTCAGGGCTATTGTTCCAGGCTCACTGCAACCTCTAACTTCTGGCTCTGCACCAGTTACACCTGGGTCATCATGACCTGAGGATTCTCATATACACATGAACCTTTTCCCCCCAAATCAGCCCCACCCCCAAATTAGGGTGTTTGTGTATTAAACTGGGAAGCAGCTGTTGTATTACTATTCAGACAAGGTTCTTTGGGTGAATCTGATATCTTTCATTAGACCAACTTAAGTTGGTCTAATGAAAGATATCAGATTCACCCAAAGAACTTTGTCTGCCTATGTCCTTAGACCAACATGGCTACAACCTACACCCCTGTATTACTATTCAGGCAGCTGAGGAAGTCAGTTGACTTAATGGCTCATTGTTCTTCACTGCAGAGGTGTTAAGGGTTGCCTCTCCTTTTTAACATTCTACCCTAGAGCAATTCTGCTGTCTGCTAGTTGTTCCTAGTCTTTCTCCTGCTATTTCAGCTTAGTGAAGCAGGGAAGGGAGAGTGAGTGAGTCATTTGAAGATTAGACTCTGTCCCTGCTCTATGCAGCCATAACTCTGGAACAGATGTTTTTCTTCCTTCTGCCTTTCAAAAACAAGATGCCTATTATATTCAGGACACGTTGCATGCAAGAAAATATGGTACTTAGAGCATAACTTGCAGCTTTGATTTTAAAAACAAAATGAAACCAGAGAACAAGGCAAAGGCCTATCCAGGCAGCCCACACCCAGCTCATCTTTCATGTTGCAACACTGCTGTAAGCAGAGAGGTAGAGGAAAGGCTAGCACAGACTAGATTTCCCAGCCTTTTACTAAAATATGTAGCACAACACGCCCAAGGCAGAAGCAGGTAAATTGTGTGTCATGCTTAGTTTACATTCAAATACCACCACCAGGAATCAGCCCTTGTTATTGCTATATCAGTCTATTTCAAGACAGCACATGGGCTTACTCAATGGCTGACAGGTACATTCTACAATACTATGTGATAGCAGCAGGTTGTATTTCCAGATCCAGGGCCTACATATCCTGTCAATTGTACCAGGGTAGAACCCGAATACCTCCATATTTCCACTGGTGTGAGCAAAAGTAGATCTGGCCTTTTTTCTTTAGCCTTCCAGGTGAATTTCTGAAATATTGGCAATATAACTAATATTGATGCCTACCGCATAGGGCTTCCATTGGAAGGCAGCTTGTTAGAGCCAGCACAATAGTAAGGAAAAGGCACTTACCTTTACAGTGAGGAATGTGATCTTCTCGTATTCGTTGAAGAACCCAGCTATCTGATTGTTATAGTACCAGGGCTGGTAAGATTTCAGCATCTACAAGATCAAAGAGGGGATGGGATGGGATGGGTTGGGAGAAAGCAGGAAATTGACTAAGCCACTATTTCCCTATTCCTTGTGGTCCTTTTTCTCTCCAAACATTTATTTTTCAATTTATGGGCAGCAGAGAAGGGCACAAATCAACCCCCTCCCCCCCCCCCACACACACACACATTAAGTATGAGGTGAAACATCAGTTGCAGGAAGCCTTACAAGTCCATTCAGAGTTCTTGGGAAGAGGGGAGGATCACCAACATCCCTCAGAAAATGGATACCCTTTGCAGCTGGTCACTATCCCTCCCCTTGGGCCCTTGCAGCATTTTAGAGCTCTCTGGTACCATTCTTTCAGCTCTGGGAAGAGGTTCTGTTGTGACTGATCTTCTGTTAGGGTGGAAGAGCCTCAAATACTCCCTTGTCACTTGGGGTCCTTGTGCAAGGGCTCATGACTTAGAGGGAATCCTCAGCCCCCTTTGTCTAGGTGAAGGGCAGTTTGAGGATCCTCCCCACTGCACCACCTGCTGCTTCCATTGTGACTGTCTTTCATACACCAGCAACATCATTTGCACCCATTTGCAGATAGGAGGAGCTCCCTAAGCCAGCATTCATCCACCACCCACAAACATACCAAGTCTTCTGCAGTCACAGACCTGGTCCCCTATGTCCATCAGACTGACTCTTGCCTATTCCTTGTGCTGCAAGCCCAGTGTTACCTATCAGGGAATGCTGTTGCTAGACTTTTTTTGTTGCCTTTTCTCCACAAGATGCGTTCTCTTAGATCAAACCAAAACACCACCCTAGCTGCTCACTGGCTTGTTTAGAGACTCCACAAACTTCTCGCTGCCTAGGAAGTTGCAGAGCATGTCAACATCTCCATTGTAAACCAGTGCTCGCAGATCATGCTTCAGCAGGGTCTGGTAGAAAGGGGCCATGTCCGTATAAATCCTCTTGTAGTGAGTTCTCACTTGTGAACTACAGAGAGAGATGAATATGTGCAGTAAGTAGCAGTTCCTCTAAACCAGTGATTCTCAGCCAGAGTTCTGTAATACCTTGGGTAACAGGAGATCCTTTCAAGGCCTACATATGCAGGCTGCTGTTCAATATTAGCACTGTTAGGTGTGCAAGCACCTCCACATAATTCACAAGAAAAAAACAGAGATTTCAAATAGGAATCCATGTGTCAAAACCACTGTGATCTGCTGTGGTCTTTCAGAGTTCTTTGCAAAAAACAAATTGCTCCATTATTTTTCCATAGTCAAGAAATGAGTCTAAGATAAGAGCTGATATGTTCCAAGGGGTGCCTTGAGTTTAACAAGGTTGAGAAACACTGTTCTAGGTTGTAACAATCAAACAGTTACACATGAACTTTCAGAGAGGCACTCAGATACCTCATATAACAATGGCCCAGGGATGGAAAGCACCATTTAGATGCTACAGGGAGAGCAGGGGCAGGGGGGCAATGCAGGTGTACGTGCACCCCCTGAGCGTGGAAGTGCATGCCTTACAAAAAGGCAGTTCCAGCACTGGTCAGCGGTGCCTGCAGGTGGTTGCCGCTGACCCCGCCAGCAGCATCTGTGAGCAGTCCGCAGTCCCCACTGGCCTCACCACCACCATGTTCCCACTACCACCGCTATGCTCCTGCTGCTGCCATGCCCCATCAGCTGCCGGGGGCATGCATTGTTCATGGAACAGGGCATACATAACTGGAGTGGACAGTGCCTGGCACAGAGGGCCCCATTCTGCACAGGTTCTGAGGCACCAAAAAAGCAGAGTAGTATCACATTGTTCAGTTAGTTGGGGTTTGCTATAAACACCCTCACTTGTCCAGAAGAACTTCTCTCACTTAAAATAAAACCAGATCTTTTTGACTAAGAATTTCCCTCCCACAGGAACCCAAACACAGCGGGGACTGGGCTATAGCACCAGGAGCACTTATGTGAAAAAGGACCAGTCTACTTGCATGACCCCAGCTAAGAAAATATCTAGAAGTAAATGGAAAATGGTGAGAAATCTGATTATTTTACTGTTTTACTGATTCATAGGCCCCTTTAACTCTCCCCTTCTACGAACAGATGTCAGATTGTACAAACTGCTGATCATAGAAGTGAAAGCAGTGGATCAGGGACACCCTACAAAGCTGTTCATTTAGGGCCACACCCCTTAAGACTCAAGAGTGGCCATTCCTTCCCCACACTGCTGTGCCCTCCCACAGCTGTGGGAGATTTAGCTCCATACTGAGGGGACCTTGGATAATAAAAGACAGTCTGTCTGGAACTAGTGCATGAGTTGGCAAACACAATGAGGGAAACAGTAGGTAGAGATTTCCTGTTAACCAGTGGCAACACGTAGGGGGTGCACAGCGTTGGTGCACCCTCTGACTGCCACTCAGGCAATGGGG